AGGGAGTCTGCTTCTCCCTCTGACCCTCCCCCCTCTCATGCTCTCTCTATCTCATTCTCTCTCGCAAATAAATAAATAAAATAAAATAAGGTTTATTTATTTATTTCGGCAATCTCTACACCCAATGTGGGGCTCAAACGCACGACCCCGAGATCGAGAGTCGCATGTTCTTCCGACTGGGCCAGCCAGGCGCCCCCAAATATTCCTTGATTCAGCTATTCTGTTGCTAGGAATTTACTTATACATTTATACTTAGGAAAAATAAATGCAAGGATAGTCACTACATGTACTAACAAAAGAGTGGAAACAACTTAGATGTCTACTAGTAGTTTGTCAATTAAATACATGTTGATATATGCATCAAATAAGGCTCTAAGTTACCGGTAATGAATATTAAGGCAGATCTTCTAAATATATTGCTATGAATGGCTTCTAAGTTCTATAATTAAGTGAAAAGAGCAAGCTACTGAACAGCGTGGATAGCATGCTGCCATTTGTGAAAAGACATACATATGCCCAGATAGGTATTTGACTGTGTAAGTACATACATACTCATATGTATACAAACCTACGTACAGCTTTCTTTAAGAATGCACAAGAAGATGGTATCAGTTGCTTTAAAGAAGGAAAATGAGGGACTAGAGAGAGGAGTAGAAGGACCTATTTTTTCCACTCTAGACCCTTCTTCAATGCTATTTGAAATGTTTGCTTTTTGCATGAATTACTCATTGAAAAAAAATGAAATAAAAACTATCACAAGAATGAGTAACAAACAAAAATTATGACTGTGTGACCTCACAGACGCACACACCAGCCTAAAATAGTACCCGCCTACATCCTTGACAGTGTCCGCTGGCTCTAACTTTCTCCCCTGTAAAGCCTCCTCAGGCTCAGGGACTTCCCTGGGCTGGCTTTCCTCTTTTTTTAATAATAAGTATTTTATTTTACCTTAAAGCCTAATTGTTCACCAGCTGTTCAATGTTCGCTTCTCCCCGTGGCGAACCAGGACTCATTCCACTCCAAACACTGATGCTTCTTTTCTTATTGTGGCTGCCCAATTAGAGGAATTTGCCTAGAAATGGCTAGTTTTCCCTTTATATATTATTTTCAATTATAACCTCATTATACAAGTGTTCTTTACTTTATCATCTTGGAAAAAACAACAAAAAAAACTATTAGAGCCCATCAGCCTCCTAGGAGAACTACCTCCTCAGTCTCACTATTCTGAATTTCTAGGGCTGTATGATGTAAAGGGAGACCAGCTATTGCTAGGACTTCCCTAGGGCAGCCCAAAGGTTTTGGTCCTAGAATAGGCATTATTGAGGGAACAGTGCCCCCTGGTGTTACCTAGAAAAAGTTACAGAGTTTTGAACAAAAGAGGTAGACTAAAGAAGGATGGAAATTTTCACAAAAAAACTCAATTAAAATCAACAGATTTTAAAACTATTATCTGCTAGGGGCGCCTGGGTGGCTCAGTCGTTAAGCGTCTGCCTTC